GGTTATTTTAGGAGTGTGCACTAACACATGTAAAACAATTGTATCGCTAATAGTCAGATAGTTCATAGAAAGAGGACCAGTCCATCTTTTGGTACTCAGAGAGTACCCTTCAAGAGATGTTACTCCTTTTGGTTGTTGTCTTTTAGGGGTTTGGTTGGTTTTGTTTCACCCTAGAGGAAAATGCTACTTACAGGTACAAGTTTAAAACCTTTGGGGTAACATTCTTAGTTTTTTAGCTGATGGTAAATGAAAGAGCAGCCACTAGATACTTCCATGCCACTGTGTTTCTCTGCTTGTGTTCCTTTCCCTCTAGGCTGCTCTGTAGTGGCACTCCAGCAGTGGTCACAGTGAGGCGATGCTCTCAGTAAATTCTCTACCGCTGGGGTGCCCAGTCAGCACCAATACTTCAGTAGCAAAGGCAGAGTTTGGTTTTCCTTTGCCTTGAGGCAGTGCCTTGAATAGCGTTAATCTTTTTTTCTTCCCAGACAATGGCTTTTCACCCTCTTTTCACCCTCTTTCCTTCCTGCCAGCTTTGATGCAAAATCGTGTTCGAAAAGTAGTGCGGGTGATAGTGCACATCTCTTTTGGGGTGGGAGCAACCATTTGTGCTTGGGATTGTTGCCATGTGCTCTGGGAGCAAAATTTGCTCTTCTGTGTAGAAGCTTAGCAGGAGACCAGTGCATCAGAAACAGTTTGTAGTGTGGTGTAGTGATTCTTAGGTATTATAATCTCAAGGGTAAACGGTAAATGATAAACTTTGTTTATTCAAATGTGATATACCTCTTTGAAGTTCTGTTCTTGTCTAAATTTGTATACTAGCAGGTCTGGCCTTCATTTAAATGATCCTTGGGTTTTTTTCCTGCTACTTAGAAAAAAAAAAACAGTGGGAAAGCCTTGACTAAGCTAATAGTGTTGCAAAGATGGAAATGATGAAGAAGGCTCAGGATTCCTGTTTGGGCCTCATGGGAAAAAGTGGTTTGAAATGCATGTGTGTGGGGGTGTGCATTCCTAAACCTGTCATTTCTTTTCCCTGTTTCTCCTCCCCCACCGTGTTCTGAAAGAGTACTACGGCATGTTTAGTGAAACCAATAAAAGTATTTGGCCGAGAGTGTTAATCTTTCCCTGGCCCAATTAGTGCATGGTTTCTACTTTAACGTTAATGTGGATTTTTTTCGGAAGGCAGAACAATGAGCAGCTTTGTGTTACATACCAGGTTTTTCCCCTTCTTGCCTGTGTTGTGCATTTCTTCCTATCTATTCTAAAGGGAGAGCTCATGTGCAAAGACAGTGGAGCAATCTGGAGCAGAGACTTGTACCAGCTCCCAGGGGCTAGGACATGCTGCTCTGTGCTTGTGTAGCTGCCTCTCAATGGCAAATCAAGTGACTGTGACTCTGAAGACTCACCATTTCTTCTCCTTTTTTCTTCCTTATCCTGTAGCCTGTGTTCTTCTTTCCACTTCATCTGTGATGCTCTTCACCAGAAGGAGAAGCAGCTGTAACTCTTTGGAGTGGTCTTCAAACAAACAAACAAACAAATACAAATAAACACACATAAGCGAAGGGGGGGAAGTAACTGTTGATGGGCTCAGCTTTAACATACATTGGAGTCACACTTTATCCCAAAGGAGGAAATAGGTCTAGCAAGTGTCTTCCTGTACAGACTGAATGGGAAGCAACAAGTTTTTTCTTTTTTTTTTTTTTTTTTAAGCTCTGCTTTCTCAGTGACTCTCCCATTAGCTGGTTGTGTGGGGCATCAGAGGTGGGCCTCTGTCAGAAGCAGGAACTAAAGGCCCCCCTGTGGAGTAGAAGTTGCCCCAGTTTTGTGTTTTCAACAACATCAACAAGTGGAGGGAATATGTTCCTGCAGAAGAGACCAGTCTCTCGGTGTGGCTGTGCAAAGAGGGCTGCTGCATTTTTTGTTTGGTCCTGTCCCCACTACCATGTGTTAGCGCTCTTGCTTAGTTGCTCGGTCTCTTCTTTTTCTCCTTTTCACAGAGGATGAATGTGGCACTGGGGGGTTTCTTCAAAGTAGAAGATGACTTGAATGCCTGTGACCACTTCCCTGTTTCCTAGAGGCTTTGGTCCAGTGTTGAATGCAACCTGAGGCTGTACTGTTTGCCAGCTTATTTCCTGTTTGTCCTTTTTCCTGGAGGTCTTTGTTTTCTTTTGGGGAGAGGGAGGAAGGAGCCTCCAATCACAACCTCCAAGCAGGGACATGTGGTGTGAGCTGGGAAGGTTTACAGTCCTAAAGTCAGTATCACATAGGGCATCCATGCTGGTTGCTGCCTATCTGATTCCAATTTTCATAGATGCTGTGGAAAAAAACCCCAACACTTCCCCATGCTCAGTGATGCATTTTTTTAAAGGGGGGGGGGAACCCAAACCAAAAAAAAAACAAGGCTGCAAGCGAAATCTCTCAGTATGTTCCTGCCTAAAGGCTCTCTGCCATGGGTTTTCCCACAGGAAGGAGTGATTTGGCCCAGTATTCTTATTGTTTCTATATCCTATTGCAAATAGAAAGTCATGCTTCTGAAATTGGTGTGTGCTGCTCATGCAGTTATCTTTGTTTCGGTGGTGCATTTTTGCCACATCCAAGAGAGTGGAAAATACATAAGTAAATAAAAATGTGCAACAACAGTTCAGTTTCAATATTTACACTGCTTTCAACATTTTTTTAAGGTGCAGAAAACAGTTTTAAAAACAAGATCTGTGACTTCATATGTTGGTTTGCCTTAGCAGGAAGATATTTAGATTCAGAAATAAAATAACCATTGGTTCATAGAAATTATAAAATGCTGTAGTAGTATAATCCATAGTTTTCCTCCTGAAAAAGGAACAGAGAGCAAGCTGGCAGGTTTTTCTAAACCAGTAGATAGGTTTTTTTAATGTGCATGTATGCCTTCCTCTTCTGCAGGCTCTCTCTGAGCATTTCCCATTTTCAGTGTTGGTGAAAGCAACACCAGGAATTCTGACTCTAGTTCTCTGGGAAGCTACTCAGCTATCTAAAAGCTACCTTGGCAAACAAGGGAATCTTCGCAGTTACACAACAGATTTTTTTCCAGGATGTATCAGCGGTGACATTAATGTCCTAGATATTAACTGAAAGAGGAATGAATATGTGTATTTTGGAAGGAAAAGTTGTTTTGTTTGTTTGGGGTTTTTTTGAGGACTAAAGCACTTATTTGTTTTAACAGAAATCTCTCCAAATTATTTAAACTGATCCTTATTTTTGGTGGTGCTAAGCAGATAGAGCAAGCAAGTTTAGATTTAGACCAGTCTCAAAAACAGTTCTGATGTTTATTCTATTCAAAGTTAAGTCAGCTACCACATAAGTGGTTACAAAAAGGGGGGGGGGGAAATTACTGTGTTGCTCTTGAATGAGGTGGACTTTTTTTTAAAAAACAAACAAAATAACAGTAAAGTTACAACAGTTAAGGACAAACAAAACAAAGACAAATAAATGGCTCCCATAATTACTGGAGAAAATACAGAAGAATGGGTGCTTGGCCTCACCTTGGAGCAGGAAATCCCTGTGTCAGAGGGACATTAGTATTTCCTTAACAGAAAAGTTCAAAAACTATTAGGGAAAAACCACCTTGAGTTGTTCAGAATAATGTTTTGTCTGTTTTTGAAGATGCAAATTGAAAGCAGTGTTTGTTAAGAGGTTGATGTTATCCTGAGCCTTAAATGCTTGGCTTAGTCAGGTCCTAGGTTTTGTCTCTAGACCGCACTGGCTTGCTATGTCAGATCATCTGTGTGCTGCTACTAAGAAGGTTGGCAGCTAAATGTGGGAAGGTTAAATCCATTGCTTTGTCTGGCATGGTATGAAATGAGGAACTACTTGACACAAGGTGGCCCTTTCTTTTTGTCTGTCTCTTCTTGGGTGCTCTTAAAATGTTAGTAGTTGGGATAATGTAGTAATTTATTGTTTTCAAATGCTATCCAAACAGCATTTGAAGATGTGTCGTGTGACTGATTTGCATGACATCCTTGAGAATGTCTTTTTTTTAAAGGAAGAAACCCTGTTGAGTTAACCGTGATTTGAAGGCAATTGTCTCCGCTCTCTGATAAAAGGAAAACTTGCATTAAGGTTACTGGATGTGATTTGTAAATCTGAGATGATGAAATGTCCACAGAGTATTTCCTTTCATAATGAAATAGATATTTTACTTGTAAGGTTTAAAAGGTGTATTTCTCCATTAAAAATGTGCCAGTAGTTTTCAATATTACAAATAACCTTTTCCAGAGGCTATAGCCATGAATGCCATGGGCAGAGAACTCATCTGATTCTTATGTGTTGGTTGTCCCCCATCACCTCTAAAAGTGATGTTTTACTGCCCTGTCATTCTCTAGTCAGAACAGGTATCCTTCCTGAAACCCCAACGATAGCATGATAAGTTTGTGGTTTCAGAAAGGGATGCGGAGGAATTCGGTTGGTGCATACAGTGGTTGCTTATGTCTTCAACTCATCTGGAAACCTTGGGCAGTGGCTGTGAAGAATGTGCGAAATGGTCCGAGAAACCTCAGTAGTCATGTCACCACTGCTAGAAGGAAGTAGGTGGTCACAGTAAATTCATGTATTGGAGTAAAGGTTAATCTTCCAAGAAGAGAAGAGGGGAGCAGTGCACATATGAAATTGAATTACTTAAATTCTCTAGCTGCAGACTATTCTTCCAACTTCTTAATCAAATGTCACTACTGTCAATGACATGTTAGCTTACTTTCTCCTCCTCCTCCTTTTTTTGAATACCGGGGACAAAGCTGGTAAGGGTTTCCTTTCTTTGTTTGCCCAGGTTTTGCCACTGGCAGAAGCAACAGCATCTCCCAGCTCAATGCCTGGAGTGGGTGCTTGGCTGTGCTGGAACTGTTTACACGCTTCTGTCACTGGGTCTATGTGCCAGTCAGGGGAGCCCTCAAACTAGAGGGCTGTAGTCTTATTTTGCTAAAATGGCATCCAGAAAAACTTATGCCTTTTCTTTTTTTCCCTTCTCCCTCACATAGTGCTAGAGGGTGCTGCTGAAGAAGAGGCTGAAGAGCCAGACGCTACTACACGTACTACACTAAGTGAGGAGACCAGCAACCAAGAAGAGAGCCACAGTCAGTCGGGGGATAAAGATGAAGGTAACTGGTTCTACTAGCTCTTTGGCTCTGTAAATTAGGGCATTGATTAAGAATGTGGAAACATTTCTTACCCATCCATACACCTTACCTGTGTGAAGAGTATAAGATACATTGAGCAGAAGCGCTGGTGCATATGTTTCTTTCTCCATCCCTAACTTTTATCTGTCTGAAAAGTATAAAATAGATTGAACAGAAGCATGGGCGCATAAATACTTGACTACCACTGCAGGCTTCCAAACTAAGATTTTCTTGGCTCCCAGTAACTTGGCACCACATAACTTAGCCTCAGAAAAACCACCTGTTTATAATCCTCAAACTTATGTTCCAAAGACAGTATTATGCAGAGATCAAATGTTCACAGACAAACGTGTTCCTCCTTGTTCACCTTCACATACTCTTCTGTTACAGTGACTTTCTCACAACACACATTAAAATTCTGTGCTTTCCACCAGAGGTGACAGAGCAGTAGGTTTGCAGTAGGTTTTCTTTTTAGGAAAAGGATTGTTTAATTTGAAGCATTTTCCTTTTCAAATTCTTAAAGAGCAAAGTGAAAGGCCTTGCCTGTGTGTTTGACACATCTGTACTTTGAGAAAGCAGAGATGACATTTTAGGTGTGTTTTGAATTTGGTATCTGAGATAGGAGCATCCATGCTACATACAGTATGTGATGGACTAGTCTGAATCTCAACAGCTTTAGCTGTGACATTAGTCATGGATGTAACACATATGCTCCATGACTTGTATGGCTTGGTAGACCAAAAGAGAAAAAAAAAATTACATAGATGCCAGCTGTGGCAGTAAAGAGGCTACTGGAGGCATATGGGGTTTTGTTTTGGTTGGATTTTTGCTAAGTTATCTTATTCCATATACAGAGCTGGCTTAAACTATGCTACACACTTACTGATGCCTTAATTGTGCAGTTTTGCTCAAAGCACGTGCTTGCTTGAATGATTGTGCTTGCCAGAGCATGCATTCATCAGTACTGCTCTACTAGTTCATGGTGATCACAGGGTACCACAAATGATACCATTTTACAGCAAGAGACTGTGAAGTAAATCACTATAAGCTCCATAGAGAATTAAGGTTGAAAATTAAGTAATGTGAATGTCCTGTGAGAAGAAATGTACCCCTTGTCTTGTGTGTTCTAATATGAGAAACTTGTCCTGTTGTAAGAACTCCAGTTATTATGGGCTGCTGCCTGTGATCTATGATGATTCAGCAGAGTGTGATGTGAGTTACAGACAGCTGAAAATACTATGAGTTAGGGGTTTTTTTCAAGATGACCTAAGAACTAATGTTTGCTTTTGTTTGTAATTCCAGAGAAGCAGCTGGAAAGCTTAAACACCTACAAGGTATCCCCAAGTTCACCAAACAGTTTGGACGGAGCAGACTTGTCCTCCATTGACGCCATGATGTCAGCAGTGATGAATGTGGGGAAGATTGCTGAAAACGGCGGGAACTCTCAAAATGTCAAATCTCCCTCAAAGTCTCCTGCACCAAATCGAATTGGCAGGAGGAACCAGGTGTGTAAACCCAAATGCAGGGAGGGCGAAGGGGAGACAAGCAGCTGCATGGGAAATGATAAGATGTAATTACGTTTCTTTGATTATTTTGCCTTTTTTTCCCTCAGTTGATCTTTCTTGCCTCTGCCATTGTTTCTCTGTGTATGTTTTCTGGTATCTCTCTAGAACATAACTTAGAAAACTGATAATCAGAGGGGTCCACTTGCTTGGATTCACACCTAAAAAATTGAACACGAGCTCCAGTGTCATGCTGGTCTAGCAGATGCCCCTAGCAGTAACAGAGTCACCTAAGAATTGCCATTTCAGTCCCACTGTATCCTTTCTCCAGGCTCTTTCATTTGCATAACCTGTTGGGGGACCAGCTCAGTTCATGAAACTAGGAGAAAAGAATGACCTCAGAGAAGAGCAGAGCAGTCTGCCAGGAGGCTTGGCTCAGCCATCATGTGGGACCCCTCATGAGGTGTGCAGCTGTCCCTCGGGAAGATACAAGTGATTTAAGGTTAAAGGTGGTGCTAGAACAAAACGTCCATCGAGATATGCAGTTTACGTGTGTAGTGTAAGGTGCCTTTTCTTCTCTGTTAATAAAACCATGAAGAGCTATTGCAGAATGCTTTATATGAATTTTGCAGAGCAAATATATTTAGCTTTTATCAGTTTTTTTCCATTTACCAGTTGATGGCACCAGTTGATAACAATATTGATCTAAACAAGTGAAAGGAGAGAGTTGTATCAGTTAAAGCTGTGGTTATTTATATTCATATTTATATGTTTTTCTTCTTCTGGGCCAAGCTCTACCAAGGAAGGTGCTGCAGAATATCAAAAAATACCCCAAAACTCTGTGTCCATTTGACTTTAGAGCTTACGGTGAAGCATGGAGACTTAGTAAATGAATCAAGATGTAACAGGGACCAGAAAGGTTGAGAGGCATGACTCATATGATGTTCCTATAGTAGTTTATTAATAGCTTGCCAAATAGCTGCCCAGTTGACAGACTAATGGCTTGTCTTGGATTTTCAGCATGAAAGGAGTTAAAAGCCATTAATTGTAAATGGAAATTCTTACATGAAGAGTCTGGGCTGTATACGGACAACCGCGTTTGTGGGATCGTATTGCCTAGCACTTGGCTTTAAGGTTTATTTACAGTGTCCTCACTTAGGGGCTACCCTGGTTCCTTGATTTCATCGTGTGAAATGAGGCACTGGAGTCCAGACTAGTCTCAGTGGCAGTGCTATTACACAGCTGTCCACCGGTACACCATGTGGTTTGGCTTCAGGGAAGTTTATTAGTGTTGGTGACCTTTATTCCACCTGATAGTTCTGTGGGCATCGAATCAAAGGAAGCTTGAGAGTAAATGTGACAGGATTAAGAGGGATTCTTACAGCATAAAAATAAACAAATAGATTGAAAACATAGTAAATAGCCTATTTGTTTTTAGGCTGAAGGATCGTTAAGGCCAGAGTGGCAAATGGCTACATTACTGAGAAAATACAAGTGAGATGTGAAATATTAAGCAGGTATCAATCTGGTTAGCAACCTCTAATACAGCGAATTTCCACTTTCAGCATAGCAGAATGAAAGCAGTGAATTGTTCTAGTGTGTGGTAGCGCACAGATCTCAGATTCTGCTCATAATGTTCCCCTTATTATAACTTCAAGGATAATAACAGTTAGCTAGTTTTCTGGGTCTGACTGCTGTTTCCCATGAGTTGGCAGTGAAACACTCTGCCCTGAACCTTTGTCCCGAAGTCTGTGGTTCTCTTTATAATGCTGACTTTATTATGGCTGTCGTCTACCCATAGTCTAATAAACGTGTTCTCAAATCAACCTGCATCCATTTTAACTTCTTATTTGCTTTGCTCTTGAAGAAAATAAAAAGTGTGACAGAGGTAGTTTTTTGAGCTGGAGAAAAACAAATGGACCTAATGCACAACTGCAAAAGCATTCCCCTTCACTTGAATGCAGAGCAGTTGTACCAGGTCAACCTACTGAAGAGAGAGTAGCTAACAAATGAGCTGTTAATTTTATCTGTCAGTTTAGGAACTGTGTTTTCACAAAACCAGCTCTGGCAGGGTAGCTGAGTGCTATGTTTCAAATTTGTGAATGAGTGTGCTTTTACAGTAGGGATGCTAATGTTTTTTGATCTGGATTGGGTCAGTCAACAGCATTCCTTTTGTAGATACCCTGGATTTGCTTGAGCTGTGTTACGGTATGCAGAATGTACCCTGTCTGACCACTGGAGAAAGTTTGGGTTTTAGTTAATAATAAACCCCAGATTCAATACTAATCAGCTCTGGCTGAGCTATAGTGTGTTTCTGATCTTTGCTTCAAGGTGAACCAGTAATTACTCTATCTTCTGTTAATTTGCTGATTCAAAGAGAAGGCAGTCTGGAAAGCTTAAACAGACTTTGAAACAATCAAGTGCATCATGTAGAACTGCAGCACTCATTTAAAGAGGAGGGGGACAAAAAACAGTAGTGGGTTGATAATTTCACAGAAATACCCTGGGGATTAAACACCATCTAAACTGTCAGCACAGCTGCAGGGATTTTCCTTACGGCACAGTGTGCTTGTTCTCTGTCCTGAGCCAGCTTTAACACAGTTGCAGTATATTTAGAGCTGAACATTACTCCATGGACAGGTTGCTGAAGTAGGATGGAATGAATATTTGTGAATTACGTGTTTGTATATAAAAATGGGGGAGGGGCACTGGGATAATGCACTTCAATTTTCTTTGGCTGTTCAGACTTCATAGTGGCAGCCTTTTTTTGCTTTCTTTCTAATGTTTTGCAAGTGCTAGTACGTTAGGCCTTGGCCTATATGTGTGGCCTACAGTGGGATGTAGAGCCCTGAAATACAGTTAGAAAAACTGTACAAGCAAAAGAGTAGAGAGGAGTGGGAGAACCTGATTGTTGCAGTCCCAATTCTTTTAGAAGTGAAGTCACAAATTTTGTTTACTTTGGACAAAATGGGAAAACAGCTCTTCATCCATGTCCACAGGTCACTGAAGTTAATAGAAAATCATCATGACCCTGTGTTTGAAAACACAGTGTAATATTATAAAAGGGGGCTCTCTAGAGTGGTTCCCCAAATCGTGTAGGAGGTGATACTGCTTTATTGAGACATAAAAAGAACTTTCTCTAACACTGTGTCAGCATCTTCCCTCCTAACATGGCAAAGAATTTGTCAGAGAAACTTGTGTTAGTCATTCTCAATGTTCTTCATGAATGCTTGTGTCTGACAACCTTCTGAGTTGATGACCTTTGGGATGTCATTGAGGGAAGAGAACTGTATGGAGAGAGGAAATGCATAGACACAGTCATACCTACCATCTTCCTCCCAGCTGAAGAGTTACTGAGGATGAGTTCTTCTTTTTGCTTGTTTTCATGCTTTTACTAATGATACTTACAATATCCAGCAAAGAACTTCATTAGGGAATGTCATTTTGGCATAAATATTTTCCTATTGGTCATGCAGAGATGGTTTTTGTACTGTTGGCATTAGAAGTGTAGGTAACAAGCAGTGGATCTGTCTGGTGAAGATTTGCATAGGTTTAATTTTCAGTGCTAGACCATTTTCTTTTTAATGTACAGGCGTTGGTGCAGAAGCCACGCCTGGGCTTCTTAGTGAGGCAGTGAAAATAACCTTTACATCATCCGGTAGCCATCCTTGTGGACAAATTCAGGCAAACACCTTTGGTTCCTGCAAGAGTGCCATTTCATCCTTGGCTGAAAGAGTGGTGCCTTTGCTCAGTGTCCCAAGGGCATACTTGAATCAGGTTGAGCTCTCTGGTTGGCTTCATTGTTTGTAGTCATGGTTTGACCGTGGTTACTCCTGATTCTCACCTGGGTGGAGAATAACCGGGTTCATAATGTGATCTTTTGGAGTCACGTACACTCCTGCATTGTCACCTCTTTCTCAGTATGATCTCATCAGATCTTGCAAGCTTCAGAAGGGTTGGGCCTGGCCAGTGTGCCTGAATGGGATGCTTCCAGGAGAAACACAGGATACTAAAGGAAATGGTGCTGATGATTCAGTAAATGCGGCTCTTCCTTCTGAGTCAGCCATGGAACAGAACATACAGCCCCTAGAAAAGTGCACCAGGATAGTGCTTTGCCACAAGTTGGGGTGGAAAATCTGAAGTTCTGACAACTTGGCTGTTAAAAATCTTTTGGGAAGATTGATGACGTTTTCCCACATATTCTGGTGGTGTTCCAGGAATTATTTTCTGCTCACCTAAATTCCTCCTGGCACTTTGAGCTCGTCACAATAATTGCCTTCACGTCCTGTCCTAAACTGGTACTGATATGTGTCCATGTGCTGTTAAAACAGCTGCTGTACTTCTGTGGTAATTGAAATGGCCCCTAATTATAAATTCAGAAAGTTTCTGAAACTTCCCTGAGGAATCTATCAGATGATAAGTTACTCCGTTAGCAGTGGCCTTTTGTACTTAGGATTGATTATATTTTTCCACCCTCAGCAGTAACAGCTTTTGGGTTCTTTTATATTGATATTGCTTCTGATTGTTTTGTTCTGTTTTTTTTCACAGGAAACAAAAGAAGAGAAGTCTTCCTATACCTGTCCTCTGTGTGAAAAGATTTGCACTACACAGCACCAGCTAACTATGCACATTCGTCAGGTATGTAGAGTTACCAGCTCTTGATTTCTTACTTTTATTGAATGTCTGGTTTGCCAGGGTGCAATTTGTACTGGTGAAAAACAATTTCATGTGCAAGTCAGAAATGCTTCCATTATAACTTTATTCACTTGTTTTACTTCTATTTTAGTCTTCCTTTGCATTTTCTTCAAAAAACCACACCCCACAAACCTAACTCTGAAGTGGGCAATTGGCCTCCCTTCCTTACTCAGCATTCTGCCCCCCCTCCCTCCCCCAGCGACTCAAACAAGGATGTATGTCCTGTTCTGTGTAGCTTAAGGTGTCCTAAGAATCCGGAAAGCTGCTTCCATCATGCGGCATAAGTCCTGTTTTGTTATTCTGTTTGGGTACAGATCTTTTTACTGGTCATGCAAATTAAGGAGGAGGAAGACACAATTTTTAAATCAACTCGGTGTAGAAGAGCCTCTCAGTCCTTCACAGGATATAAGCAATTTTGGGAGGCAGAATTAAGAATATATTTCTTTAATGGATAATGCACATTTTTGTCAGCTACAGGCCTGTTCTTGCTCCTCCTGAAATATATGCATACTTAATTAGGAGGTTTGGCCTTTTCTCTAACAGAAGGTTCTGCTTAGGATGCTAAGGTGTGGTTGACGACTGTGAGTTCACTAGATACTTATTACTTCAGTTTTTCCTCCTGTACTGTAACTGTTACTTAATTTTTTTTTCCTTACTCTTCTGGTGGATTTTTTTTCATATGTGAAGAAATCTTAGAGTCTCTGAGTGCAAGTAAGAGAGTGGTGCATATATAGCACTGTAGCTAATGGCCTTAATTTGACCCTGTAATGCATTCTTATGGCCATAGAAGTCTGCATGTGCATTCAGAAGCAGTTTCTGTTTTCTTACTACACAGTTTGAAATCAATACCTTTAAAGAAGTATTTGTTTTTAAGTGTCTTTCTTCTGCTGTGAAGTTCATAATTACATCCCCTTTCCTTGCCACTCACACAACCCCAAACCACTGCACAGCTTAAAGTATCCCAAGGTACCATTTATCTGATGGGTTGTTGCTGAGTCCCCTTTTGCTGCAGATCCAACAGAAATGCTGCATGTGACAGGCACTGCAGGCTGTATGAAACAGCTATTTCTGCTCATGCATTAAGGGGTTAAAAATCGGTGGTGGTGGTGTTGGAATTGAGGTGGGGAGGGCTGGGGAGGAGAGGTATTTACAGGGCACACCTTAATATAAGGTATTGTGCTTTATGGAGTGGCTCTTTAAAGTCGGTTTTGAGATGTTTATAGTTCTTGATGATATTTTACTGGCACTTCAGAAGGGACTTTCAATGAAAAAAAAAATCGTTGCTTTCTCTAGCATAACACTGACACTGGAGGGACAGACCATTCCTGCAGCATCTGTGGAAAGTCTCTGAGCTCAGCGAGCTCCCTTGATCGCCACATGCTGGTGCACTCAGGTGAAAGGCCCTATAAATGTTCAGTATGTGGACAGTCCTTCACCACCAATGGAAACATGCACAGGTGAGTGCTGATCGTGTTCCAGGAGTTTGAAAAGGATTACAGCATAGGTGGCTGGTTTGTTTCCTTGGAGGGAATTTCAAACTGACTAAAGACACTTACCTGGGCAGACAGTGTGAAGTATCGGGGACCTACTATGGCATGACACACGTACACACTAGGATGCTTAGGTAGTGGAAGGAAGTTAGAACTGAGAGAGGTTTTCTAGTTCTCTTTAAGTATTATCAAGAGTTGTTACAGCTTTTTTTTTTTAGTAGTAGTAATATTATTATTACGAAAAATGGATTTTTCTCTGGGGGCAAATATATAAAGCCAAGCTGTATAGGAGCTTCTAATTTTGCGGCTTCAGAGTCGTAGATGAAAGTCGTTGTATTAGAACATCTGTGGTGGTGTTGATGTTATGTACTTAGGTATCCATGTGCCATCATGAAGATGCCTCTTTGGCATATTTGATCTTGTTTTTAAATACATTCATCAGTACTTGTTTGCACTGTAAACAACTTATTGCACTATAGATCTGGCAAATTCTCTATAATCCAAGTTTCCGAATATATTTCATGTAGTTTTATTTGTAGGGATGTAGCAATACGTCTACTTGTCAACTGGGGAAACAAAATGTTAAATCACGTGTGTGTTCCTTCCCCTCTCTCATCCAGCATTCATTTATTTGCATGGGTGGAACACCTCAGAGCTGATTAAGACTTTGTGGATTCCCACATAGCTTTAGTCCCCATATCAAAGAGTTTACAACCCACAAAGAAACTGCAAGACAAGTAGGGAAGAAGAGTATAGCTTATAAGCAAAATGGCAAGAGTGATGGTTACAGACTGGTTCTTGTTTCCTTGATTATTACCAATCGTTTTCCAAGCAGTGTGCTATAGGTAGAATGAAAGGGATGATTTTGATGACAATAAGAAAAATAACATAATGTCACACAAAGGAAGCAATAGCTGCTTGCAACTTTCCCTTTCTGGTATCATTTTGTCCATGTTCAAGATGTAGTGAAAACAGGAGGGAATGCAGTTTTGTAATTCTGTATGGACTGATCATTGTAATTCTGTATTTGTTTAACTTGCAATTGAGTGGAATTGGGGAGGTTTGGAAAGATAGATATAAAATAAGAAGGGAAAAACATAGGGAGGAGATACTGGCCTTGGGCATTGAATAAATCACACATCTGACTCATCTGACCAGAGGTGGTGTGAGCCACGTGTTTGGCAGACTGGGTCATTACTCTGTGTGCTCTGAGAAGGGCAGGGCTGCTGCTGAGTTGCAGCTGATGCCACTGTCAGTATCGCAGGGTGAGTTCCAGTGGTGGAGCCCTGGGGTGGTCAGTCACTTGTGTCTGGGCTGCTTGCTGAAGGACTGTTTGTGCGGTTTGTTTGGCTTTTTGCTCACTGGGCATCTCCTCATCCTCTTCTGGAGGCAGGAAAGGGAGGCTTCCCCTGAAACTTGACTCCAGGCCTGTGAGAGATAGATGCAGTCACCTTTGCTTCTGGGGGTTTCTCCATATAGCAACTCTTAGTGTGCTTTTGCAGCAAACTTGCCAGAATTGCCAGGCTCAGTGACTTGTCCAAAATAAGTAAGTACAGATCAGAACCTTGTGATGAGAAGATTGTTTGGTTTTAAATTTTTCTCTTAACAAGATGTTGCTTGAAGTTACCAGGATGGAGTGCTGTATTTACTGACTGCACTAAGAAGGACTTCAGTGCATGGAAGGAAAATCATATTAAAAGTTCTTTCCATCTGATAGGTTCCTGTCTGCTCTGTAAAACTCCATGTGTAGGCCTTCACTGCAGCAGCAGAAACCTGTTACTGAGTACTGCAACAAGTGACCCCAGACCCATGATAAGCAAAATCCTGAGCACACTGAAACAAGCTGGTTCTGCTAAAGCAGAGTTGTGGTTGGCAGACTGTGCCATCGGGTTTTTATTCAGTGAATAACTTTTTCTTGTTGCTATAACAGACTGTAATACTGAGTCTTGTTGCTGAAAGCATGAATGTGCAAGTAGGCAAATGAGGATAAATTCAAAGTGAAGTTAAATTTTTTATCTGGTACTGTGACACACAAGGAAGATGTTCATTTTGCCCACCAGTACCTCCTTCTGAAACAGGTATTTCTAGTCTTAAGATGGTGTGAAGAAAATTTCTTTTGCAGACATCTTAAACTTAGCTGTAGCATCACATCCAGTGGACTGTCGGTGCTGTGGCTGAATGCCACTTACATCACATTCAAAACTGTTTCTGCCTCAGGATTCTGGAGAAAGGACCTGCTTGCCAGGTCCTACCTTGTGTGTAACTCCCGCAGACCTTGCTTGTAGTGGTGCCATGTCTGTTCTTCTGTGCCAGCTAGATAACTCAAGCCCATCTTCCTCTGCTTTTGTGTGCAGTTCCTTTATCGATCTCTGTTTTTGTGCAGTATCTAAGCAGTGACAGATACATGCCCAAACAAGCAAAAAAAAAAAAAAAAAAAAAAGATTTCTAACCTGGTACCCCTGGTAGCCAGCATGGTGTTATCCCCAAGGCATTGCACAGTGTGGGGTCAGAGAGAGCAGTTGTAGGTTTAGCAGAAACTTTTGAATGTGCTGCTAAAGAATCAGTGTAGCTTGTGAAGGTCATGCAGGAGCCTCTCAAGTATTACTGCACTTATGCCAAATATGTTCAGCTCACCGGAGTGGAGCGAGGGAGAAGTTAGTCTGCCAGTATCTGAATGGGGGAAAAATGTGTAGGCACATGCTATGTACATCCTCTCTTCTCTTTCCCCTCCTCTGCCTTGTTCTGGCTCTTATTTAGCTGTCTATACTATTTTTAAATCCAGACTTTTAAAAGACCTTTTAGGGGAAAAAGTTCAATTGGAATGGTTTTGTCCAGGGAAATACTGTGCCATGGGAGTGCTTATTGCTGTTCCATCACAGGAAGAAATTTCTTATCCATTTTTCCACCTCAGAGCAGCCAGGCCATTAGACATTCAGCTTAGTGGAGGAGGGAAGGAGACAAGTTTCGGTTGCTTTTTCAGGTTAGAAAATGATTATCAGTGTTGTTACACTCTAAAGTGCCCAAGACTCTCTTACCTGTTACTCTTTTTGATGACAGCAAAACTTCTATGCAGTAGCCAGACTTTTTGTGGAGTGAGAGTGCTGTTTTCTGCACATCTCTGAGTTAGTCTAGCTGTGCTGGGGTGTTGCATGTACTCTTCACCTGTGAAACTGATGCTGCCCTTCCTGACTCCCACAATACATGCAGCATTTCATTTGTAAATGAGTCAGAGCCTCTCACATTAAGTGCTCCTTGGCTCCTTGTCAACAAGTCAAGTTGAATGGGCACAGCAGACAGGAGTGGAGGGAAAGGTTCTCTTGTGCAACACTAGTCAGAAAAAAACTGCTTCCTTTTCTGACCAAGGTGACTCTTGGCCAGTATTTTCAACAGGGAACCTTGAACCCAGGCCATCTCAGAAAACTCTCTTACAGGCTGCCAATCTGTTGAGGAGTGGCCTGAGCCTTCTATGAGGACAGTCGTATTTGGAGAGAGCAAAGGTCTCTGGAGAGTGCTCAATGTCCAGAGTGAAAAGCCGATTTTCTCATTCTTCCAGATGTGCCATCGAGCTGTTCCCCCCTATCAGTCTTGCTCCTACTATTTGGGGAGGGTTGATGTAATCTGGTACAGTAACTGGGAGCTCTATCGGTATCTGGTGTTAGGATAAAGAATTGTTCTGGAGAAGAAGAGCTGGAGATGATGCTGAGTTTTTTAAAGATTTCTTTTTTGACCAGTATTGGAAAGAGCAAGTCTTCTTGGAAGTAGCAAGCCTTCTAGCATCAGGAACTGATTTGGGGCTTGGAGGCATTGTTTTCTCGGGGCTTTTTAGGAATTTGAAGGAAGGAGTTAGGTCATAGTACTTTTGAGTTCAAAGTTCCTCTAACTGGAATGGCACTGCAATGATCAGTCCATAAGAAAATCTGCAGTTTAGGATATGCCTTATCCTCACACTTTTATGGTAGAGACACAGCCCCTGTGGCTTTCTCTTGGTCACAGTCAATTAAAGTTGAATATTCTCATATCTCCATCAGGAGCATAAATGATAGGGAGGGGAGTGGGGGATATATAAAGAGTTTTCTGTAGCTCTGGAAGAGTTGGGGATTTCAAATGTACTGTCTCCAATCAAATAGATTGTAATTACTAAAGACTTTCCAAAGGTTTTCAATCTGTGCTGTCACAGTAGCTCCCTAGGGAGTTTACCTGAGAATAGTCCCAACCCTGAGGAGCCCTTTTGGATCCAGACCCTGACACCAAATGGGAGGTTTCAAGTCTCTTACTCCATCTACACCACTGCATCCCCTCAAAATGCAGACAGAGGAGTTATGCCACTGCTGTGGATTGTAGTGGTGGTTTGTAAGTGTTCGCGAGGGATCTTGAGGTAGAGAAAAAAACTTTGCTTGACTTACTGTATTGCATTCCAGTAGAACATGCATGAGGCTTTAGGGGGAAGGGCGATGCCTCCATTTGCTCCAAGTGTTTCCTTTGGGGGAGGAGACTTTGCCAGCAGTTCCTTTTCCATTTCTGTGACTTACGATGGTCTGTGCCTATCACTTTAAAGTCACATTTTTCTCCCTGCCAAAGACATGCTCTCCATGCAACTTGAAAATGTTAATAGGATATAAATGCTGAAAAGGAGGCGAGAAATGATCTTCCTGCCAGTTTCCAGTGGGAAGCTATTAAAGGCTCTGTGGTAAGTCTGAAAAGAGTAAAGGGATAATATATGTGTTTCAGCCACAGCTTCCCCAGTTTGGTAAATGAAGCTGCAGTGTCCATGGCTGGTTTTCTCCAGGCTGTCCATATAAATGCAGTAATGCAAACTAACTGAAGTGTTTCACGTGAAACCAAAGCATCACAAGTATCTGCCTTCTTTCTCTTTTTCCATTCCTTGACCATACCTAACAAAATTATTCAAAATGGCTTTTTATTTACATCCTGCTTAGGTACTTGTAGACTGTTTATGCACCATGTCA